CCGCCGCCGCGGGCGCTGCCGGCGGCGCCGCGGGCGCGGGTGTGGGGCGGCGGCGCCACTCTGGCACGAGGTCTATGCTGCCATCGCCGCCATCCATCCCCTGCGGCCGCCGCCGCGGCGGCGGCGGCGGCGGCGCGCTGCCGCCGGTGCCGCGTGGCTCGTCGGACGCGTCGTCGGCCGGCAGAAGCTGCTGCTGCTGCTGCTCCTGCTGCTGCTGCTGCTGCTGCTGCGGCGGCGGGGGAAGTGGCTGGCTGTCGTGCTCCTGGCCTGGCCAGCCCTCCTCAGGGTCGCGCAGAGAGGGCGGCTGCGCCGACTGCTGCAGCGGCAGCCCCTCTCCAAGCGTCTCCACCCCGCCACCCGGCGGCCCCCGCGCTGCACCGTCCCGCCACGCGGCGCCAGCCGCCGCCCAGCCATCGGCCCCCCCCGTCGCGTCCGGCGCCGCCGGGCGCCGGGGCGTCTCCGACGCCGGCGCGCCGCGGCCTGGCGCGGGCGCGGCGCCTTGGTCGATGACGTCATCGCTGAGCAGCCAGGAGGGCAGCTGCGACAGCATCGAGTGCTCGTCATCCGGCAGCCCCAGGCCCAAAAGCTGACGCAGTTGCTCCGACGCGGAGTCCTCCCCGCCGTCCCCCGCCGGGGCGGGCGACGCGCGGGCTGGCGGCGGCGCGGCGGGCGCACCCGAGCCGTGTGCCGGGGCCGTGGCCGCAGGGGCGCCGGCGGGCGGCGCCCAGCCCGAGCTGGGTCCGACAGCGGATGCGGGCGCGTTGGCGCTGGCGGAGAACGGCTGCTGCAACTGCTGCTGCTGTTGCTGCTGCTGCTGCTGCTGCTGCTGCTGCTGCTGCTGCTGCAACTGCCGCTGCAGTGCCTGGGGGTCAGAACCCAGCAGCTCCACGAGGCCCCGCAACATAGCCTCATCTGGCGCCTCCTGCGCGCCGCCGGGCGGCGCCGCGGCGGCAGGGGCAGGCGCTTGGGCCGGCGGCGCCGCAGAGGGGGGCGGCAGGGCGGCCCACGGGGCCGGAAGCTGCGGGATGTCTTGTGGCGCCGAGGCAGCGAACGGCGCAGGGGGCGTAGGGGCCGGGGCAGGGGGGGCCTCTGGCGTTGCCGAACCAGAGTTGACCAGCGACTGCAACAGCTGTTGCAGCTGCAGCTGCTGCTGCTGTTGCTGCTGTTGGTGCAGCTGTTGCTGGTGGTGCTGCTGTTGGTGCAGCTGTTGCTGTTGCTGCTGCTGTTGCTGCTGCTGTTGCTGCTGCTGCTGTTGCTGCTGCTGTTGCTGCTGCTGTTGCTGCTGCTGTTGCTGCTGCGCCGCCTGGAGCTGCGCTAGCAGGGCAGCCAGCTGCTGTGCCTGCGAATCAGGCTGCGCTGGCACCTGCTGCTGCTGCTGCTGCTGCTGCTGCTGCTGCTGCTGCTGCTGCTGCTGCAGTGCCTGCTGCATCGCCTGGTGCTGCGCGAGCTGCATCTCCAGCTGCGCCTGCACCCGCTGCAGCGCGGCGGCGTCAGTGGGGCGCCCCGCGGCCTTGAGCGCCGCCTGCTGCTGCGCGAGGGCGCTGACCTGGCGCTGCCTTTCTTGCAGCACCACCTGCGCCCGCAGCAGCTGCAGCCGCTCCTGGTTCTGCTGCGCCGCCTGCTGCTGCGCCGCGAGCGCCGCCTGCTGCTGCGCCAGCAGCTGCTGCGCCGCCAGCGCCTGCTGCTGGCGCCGCTCCTGCTGCTGCATCTGCAGCGCCGCCTGGTGCTGCCGCAGCAGCTTCTCGCGCTGCTCCTGGAGCGCCGCCGCCTGCAGCGCCGCCTGCACCTGCTGCAGGCGCTGCTGCTGCGCCTGCAGCTGCTGTGCAGCCGCCAAGCGGGCGAGGGCATCCTGCATGTGGTTCGGCACCAGGGCCCCGGGGTTCACCAGCCCCTCCGCGCCGCCAGCCAGCACCCCGCCTGCTTGGCCATGAATCAGCGCCGCCCCCTGCAGAGGGCCGCCCGGCAGCAGCGCCGCCATGCTGCCAAGGCCCGGCGCGCCGACGGCGGCCGCGGCGGCGGTGGCCGCAGAAGCCGCGGCGCCGCCGGGCGCGGCGCCGTCTGCGCCCGGGCTGCGCGCGACCTTGATTGGCGGGAGGTGCGTGCCATCCAGAACCTCCACAATCGTCGTGCCCCCGCCCACACTGACCGCGGCCGGTGACGACGACGGCCGCGGCGCGCCGCGGGGCTCGCCGGCCGCGACAGCCACCTCCTCCACCAATTCGAACAACAGGTCGTCGATCGCCGCGCCGCCGGCGGCCGCGCCGGCGGGGCCCGCGCCAAGGATGTCGCTCGGCGTCGAGGCGGCCGAGGGGGACGCCACTTCGGCGCCGCCGATGGGGCCTGGCGGCGCGGCAGAGTGGTGGGCGACGCCGTTGAGGCGCGGCGGCGCGTGAGCGAGGGGCGCCGCGGGCAAAGCGGGCGAGGCGGCGGGCCCGGCCTGCGCCGCCTGCGCCAGCGTCGCGGCGGGCGGTGCCGCTGGCAGAGGGAACGCGGGGGGCTGCGTGGCAGCCAGGCTGTGTGACTGCGACGGTGCCGCGCCAGGCTGCCCAGCCAGCGGCTGCAGGCCGGCCGCAGTCATGGTCGGGCCCAGTGCGTGGGCCTGTGCCTGCTGAGGGCCCGTCTGGTCCTGTGACACGAGGGCCTGCTCTGGCACAGGAGCAGAGTCCTGGGCAGCAAGGGCCTGCCGAGCGGCGACGGGACTAGCCGTGGAGGGGGTGCCTGCCACACGCTGCTGCTGCTGCTGCTGCTGCTGCTGCTGCTGCTGCTGCCGCAATTGCTGCTGCTGCAACTGTTGCTGCTGCAATTGCTGCTGCTGCACCTGCTGCTGCTGCTGCAATTGCTGCTGGAGTTTGAGGTGCTGCAGTTGCTGTTGCAGCACATGCTGCTGCTGCAGCTGCTGAAGTTGCAGCTGCTGCTGCTGCTGCTGCTGCGGCTGCTGCTGCTGCTGCTGCGGCTGCTGCTGCTTTTGCTGGGACAGCAGCAGGGCTTGCTGCTGCTGCAGCATCAGCAGCTGCTGCTGCTTTGGGTGCTGCTGCTGCTGATGCTGATGCTGATGCTGCTGCTGCTGCTGCTGCTGCTGCTGCTGCTGCAACTGCTGCTGCAGCTGCTGCTGTTGCTGTAGAAGCAGCAGCTGTCGCTGTTGCTGTTGTTGCTGCTGGAGCTGCTGCTGCTGCTGCGCAAGTAGCAGAGCGCGCTGCTGTTGCTGTTGTTGCTGCTGGTGCTGTTGTTGCTGATGCTGCAAGATCACCTGCTGCTGCTGCTGCTGCTGCTGCTGCTGCTGCTGCTGTTGCAGCTGCTGGTGCTGCTGCTGTTGCTGCTGGATCGCCGCCTGCTGGATCGCCGCCTGCTGCAGGGATGCGTGCTGCCGCGCCAGGTGCTGCTGCTGCTGCTGCTGTTGCTGCTGGATTTGCAGCTGTGCTGCCACACCACCGCCCACGCCAGCCGCCAGGCCGCCCACATGTGGCTGTGCGCCAGGCAGCGACGCGGCGCGCTGCGCGGCGAGCGCCTGCCGCTGGGCCTGGGCTACCAGAATCTGCTGCAGCTGCCCGGAACCTGCCGGCTGTGTGCCCAGGGTGCGGACCGCGGGGCTGGCCGCAGCCGCTGCAGGCACCAATGACAAAGGCTGGTAACGGTGGCCGGCTGAGACGAGGGCCAGCAGCTGCTTCAGCGGCTGGAAGGCGCCGAGCGGCGCCTGCTGCGGCGAGACCCCTGGTGCCAGCCCGCAAACAGGGAGTGTGCCGGGCAGGCGCCCTACGGCGTGCCATTGGATCATCTGCAGTGCTGTGAAAGGCCCTTGAACACGCACATTGTGATCCTGCAGGAGCGGGGCGCAGCGGTGTGCGTTCGAGCGGCAGCACATGTACAGGGCTCGGCCCCAAGAGATCCATGCACATGCGGAGCGAGGCGCGGCAATGCCGCTATGCCGCTGTTTGCCAAACCTGGTAGAGCCATGAGACGGCGTTGGTCGACGCGTTCAGCGTGCCGCAGGTGAAAAGCAGTGACGCTGCAGGGTCCGCAGCGATGCTTGCGGCCGCCATCGCCCGCTATGTGAGTGCAGTGACTTCTAACAATATTTGGAATGGACGACGTAGTGGCTGGCTCCCTGCGGGATGGCGACACTGCACACGGTGAGGCCCATTAGGCCTGAGCACGGAGGGGCCTCGCGGCCTCAAGCTGCCTCTTTTATAACTCGGGACTAACTTCAGGTCACGTGACCCAGCGCAGCCCGAGCCAGGCGCGCCCGATACTAGCGGCCTGCCGCAGCGCTCAAGCCTCTCGCCCACCTGAGTGAGGCTCGGCAGTTTCGGCAAAAATTCTAGCTTGTGGTGCTACGGCGAAAGGGATGAGGCGATGCTGAGCACGGTGGGCGCGCAATATTGTGATCTAGAGCGCCAAGTCGCGTGACAGCCCCCCTTTACACCATCGAAGGAACCTAAAAGTGTCAAAGAATCGGTTCAGCCCACCACACATGCGCGAGCCTGGATTGACGCTGCTGAAATGGTCACCGGAGGCATGGGTGTGCACACTGCAAGGGTGCGTTGCATGCGCACCAGAAGGATGGAGGTGCTGCTTGTGCTCTACCTTGGCGCCGAGATGGCCCACTGAATCGCCGGCCCCATCTATAGGATGCGCAGTCCGGCCGCTCTCGACGCTCCGGCCGGTCACTGATGGCTCATTAACTGAGGTGACCCGACAGATCCAGCCAATGTGATCTCGCATGCTCAGATTACACAGCCAGACAGGGTCCTTGCGCCAGGGACTCCGCTGATGTCCCGGAGCCGGGCACTCCATGGACACCACGGCGTCACCTCTACCACCCCGTGCGCCACCTGCCCCGCAGCACGCGTCACAGCCGCCGCTCGAGCCGCTCCGCCTTTCCGGCCAGCGCCGCCAGCGCCTGCTTGAACAGCTCCGCCGCCGGCAGCGCGCCCGTGGACTCTATCGTAAAGATGAAGTGCTCCTTGCGCTTCCGCACCTCCACCACGCCGCGCCAGCGCTCCTCCTCCAGCAGGCGCCGCACGCGCTCCAAGGAGCGCTCCGCCTCCTTTGACCGCACGTCCCGCACGCCCAACTCGCCGTCCGGCTGCGCGCGCGTGCGCGTGCACGCATTGTGTGTTTGTATGTGTGCATGTGTGTGTGCGCGCGCGACTGCATGCACACATGCGGACATGCACACGTGTGTGGCGCATGCCTGGGTGCATGCACACGCGCGTGGGAGTGGTGTAGGGGAGGCGGGGTTCGCAGAGCGGGGCTAATGAGGACCCCAGAGGGGGGGAGATGGCCGGCAGGCAAAGACAGGCCCCGCAGCACCAGAAAATATGCAAATCAGGGGCGCCCTCGCCCAACCAGCGACCTCCATGCGCCGCGCTAGCTCCGCCCGGCGCTGCCAGGACCGCGCCGGGAGGCGAACTCGGCTCAACCCGACCCACCAGGCTGGCCCCTGAGTGGAAAGGATCAAAGGATCAGCCTCGCAGCGTCCCTGGCTGACCTACTCGCTTTGGGGTGAACCCTTTTGGCCAAACGCCGACTTGAAAACAAAGGAATGCGCCCTCACCTGCAGCTCAAACACCGCCGGCACCGCCTCCGCCAGCTCAGCGGCCTCCTCGCCCGCCACGGGCCGCAGCAGCGCCACCTCGGGGTGCAGGCGGTACCACGCCGTGGCGACGGGCGACCACTTTGCGTGCTCCCGGCCGACGCCCTTGATGCAGTGCGCCTCGAGCTCGATCTCCTGAGCAGGTGGATTGACAGAGGGCGCGCGGGCGACGGCGTGCGGGATAACAAACATGTTTAAGGTGTGGTACAACCCCAATCCCGAAATCTGCCCATCCACATGCAAGGGTAGTCCTGATAAGTGCGCTTGCATGGCAGCCGACGCCCGCGGGCGGCGCTCGCGGCCGGGCCGCCAGCCCCGCACCTGCCCGGGCCGCAGCTTGGCCAGGAGGATGCTGCCGTCGACGGACGCGGGCGCGGGGCGGCCCTCGAACAGCGCCGCCTGGCTGGAGCCCTCTGTGAAGCGGCAGCCCGTCTCGTCGGGCAGGTCGCTGCCCGCGGGGAGCCACTCAAACTGGTCAGATGTGACTGCGATTTCGACGTCGACGGGCGAGGGGGCGAGGGGACGGTTGGCGGGCGCGAGGAACACGTGGCGTCAGCGGCGCTGTGGGGGGTGGCTGCGGACGCGCGTTGCCGCGACGGCGCAGAGGCGTGTGCGTGCCCTGAATAAGCTGGAAAACGCGCGGGCCAAACGATGCCCGCCAGGCACTCTCCATATTGCATGCTGCGAGGCATTTTTTTGCCGCTACCGTAACACTCCCCATGCGTTTCTGGCGCACATTATGCTTCCTCAGACTCGAATCAGATACACTCGCGGCCGCTTTTCTCACCCGACTCGTTGACCACGCCGCCGGCCGCGTCCTTGCTGCACCGCACGTTGAGGCGCAGCACGACGGTGTTGGCCTCGCTGGCCGCGTCCTCGGCGCCGCGCCACTCAAGAAGAGCGGGGTCCACGTTGATGGGCACGAGGCCCAGACGGTGCGCCAGGACCTCGTCCTGTGAATGGGGGTGGGGGTTTTGAATCACAATAACATCATGACGAGAGACAGATTCGGCATCGCAACGTTAGGAGGGGACAGGGGACAGCCACTAAGGGCTGAACAGTAAGAAAAAAAGCAGGGAGACAGCTGTGGCGAGCGTTCGAACACGCACCCACGGTGTGGGGCCGCCACGAGGCGCGAGGCGCGTTGCTGCGGAACCAGCGACGCCCCGCGGCCTGCCGACCCCGGCGGCGCACCAGCTCCCCCCCCCCTCCCCCGCGCTGCGTCAGCGATTCAGCCCCGCGGCCCGCGCCTGTATAATTGAGGTGTTGTTGATTATGAACACATGCTCGATTGCCACAGTGGGGATCTCCGCGATGAGGATGCGCCGCAGCGCGTTTGCTACTGCGGGGTCGACGCCCACCAGATCAAATTCCATCGTCATGCCCTGCGGGTGGGGGTGGGGGTGGGGGTGGGGGTGGGGGCGACGGTGGGCGCCTGCTGCGCGGAGGCCGGTTGGATAGCACGCATGCTGCGCATGCTGGGGATGAAGGCCGGGCGTGGCGCCCGCGCGCGGGCTGCATGCAGATGACGCCGCGAACAGCGGGCAGCGGCCTGGGGCCCAGCAGTTGCTGCTACCCGGCGCGCCAGTGCGCACGTTGTCGCTGATAGAGTTGACGGTTATCGAAAAATTGTCCGCAAAATCCTGTAAGTCCCAGGCATTGTCCACCCCCAGGGGTAGGTATTCGCTGGCAGAGGTTGCCGTGTGGGGCTGTCGTTGAGGTTGTTTCCAGGGAAGGGGGGGCGAGGAGGAGAGGGGCAGCCAATGTGTTTGCACAGGTTTGGCAGGCGAGGGCTCCCGGAAGGGCCGTGTGCGCAAGGGTGGCGCATGCTCTCGCAAGTGCAGGAAACACGCGTGGCGCGTGTTTCGGTGCGGTGGGGTGGCGACGGCAGAGGACGGCAGCGGCGACAGCACAAGCGCGCTGCCGGCGGCCGTCAGAAATGCACGTCCAAAATCCCGGCTCACATGGTAGTTCTTGTCGTGACCACAAATCACATACTTTCGCTGTTTCTCAAGGTGCTCCGGGAGCTCCTGTGGCGCCTTGTCCTTCTTCTTTTTCTCCTTGTGCTTTTTCTCGCCCGGCATGATGGCTAGCGCTTCTCTTACAATATGTAAAGCTTATCTAGTTGCTGGAGCTCTGTAAAACTATCGTAGATCGCAAGCTGCTGTGACGTATGATCACTTGGGGGTCAGGGAAGTCGCTGCTGTTTTCCTGCCGTATGCGACTAGCAGATGACTGAGTGTCGTGTCTGTGACCTGAGCTTGGGCAGGTGACTGAGTGACCACAGCTCACCCGCGCTGGTGACGTGGGCAACACACGGAAACTGCTCACAGCGCAGTACGTGGTAAGCGCTTCGGCATTTGACAGATCGTGCCTAGAAATTCGTGTAGACCCACGTTGCACACCTTTTGTGGAGATGGCCCCCTGAGCGGGTGAGGCACAATGGCCAAAACGAGGCATCCATTCCTGCAGGGCTCCTGCCTGCAGCTGCGGTTGCAGGCGCATTCAAGCCCCAATAGGCGGCTGCCCAGCGATGCAGGTGCACTCCGAAGGTTCCAACTCATCGGTGTCCGCATGCGCAGCACACAGTTGCAGCCGCCGCAGAGGGCAGGCAACTTGCATGCGTGGAAAAGGACGGTGGTCTTGCATCGCATGTCCTTGACATACACGTGCGTCAATCAAAACCTCGTCAAACATCAACACTTATGTTGTTGCATGTCTCTGTGGCCACACAGTGTGGCTTGAAAAAGGCCGAAGGTTGCTGGTGCGGCCCGCCACGAAACTGCTGTGCACCGCCAGCACCGGCACGGTTGAGATGCGATAATCCTTGCACAGGGCTCCAGGCAACAGTAAACTTGAGCGCAAACAAATTTACTTTGGGGTGCATCTCTTGGGTCACCATATGGGAGTTTCGGCGCCATGGGCAGCTGAGGGGAAGCAGCGGACGGCGGGAAGACGCCACGCAAAAGCCCCATATTCTGGCACGCCCGTTGGCGAGACCAGTTGGTGTGCTACATAAGGTTCAATGCCGCGACGTTGTATCTTATATGTCCCCGACAATGCTCAACAGCCAGACGGCCCATCATGCGCGGAAGCCACGAGCATAACGTCGCGCGGATCAACATTCTAGCCTAGGCTGAAGGACAAATAATTTCAAGATGGGGCAACCCTCGGGAGGCGGGAACAGGCGTCGTTCATCAGGCTCGTCCTCCATGCCGTGCTCACCCATGATGCTGAAGCAACACAGCGATAGCAAGCCGGGTAGCCCTTCCAGTGTTAGGTCTTCGTGGAGCGAGGGTGAGTGGCCAAGGGGGCAGAGCCATTTCGCGTTTGTGGTGTTGCGTGTTTTGCCACGCGCACGGCACAGCGCGCCTGTATGTAGCTTCTATGCTGGCCACGAGCCCACCCGTGTAGCCTGCAGCACCCAGGGCAGCAACTTCATGGTCGCGAACCGCATGCAGCGTCAGCATGGGCACTCAGGCTGCACCCCCGGCCGCACACGCGTCGCTTGTGCATGCAGATGGCTCAGAGGGCAAGGGGCATCGCGTTCCTGGCTTTGCCGTGCCCATGCAAAGCAGTTTGTTGAAGCGCATCAGCGCGTTCAGGAGCAAGGAGGTGCGCCAGCGTCGCGGGAGCTCTCTTGGCCGCTCCCGCGGGTGCGCGCAGCCCGAGGCACGAATGCGACGCCATCGCCGCAGCCCCCCTTCGCGCGCCCGTCCACAGCCGTGCGTCCACAGTCGCGCGGCGCCCGCCCCGGTGCGCCAGCAGCGGTCGGAGGGCCAAACCCACCTACATGCTACGACGACCCAATTCGCGTGCGCGCGCCCACACATAGAAGCACCGCGCGCGCCGACCCACCACCCGAAACCTCCCAGGAGCTGCTCGAGTTTGTGGCGTGCTACCACATGCTGCTGGACCCCATAAACCTCGTGACCTGCCTGTACCGCCTGGCCAAGATGTCGTTCAGCCAGCGCAGCCGCAGCGTGTACCTGCAGGAGCTCCAGCGCTCCGCGACGTTCCAGCTGCTGCTGAGTGAGCGCCGCAGGCCGGGCCCCGCGCGTGCGCGCGCGTATGCATGTGTGCGTGTGTGTGTGTGTGTGTGTGGGGAGGGGGTTTTGGTCTGCGCTGCTGCGGCGCCAGGGCGAGCTGCAAGTTTGTGTCGCGTGAGGACATGTTGTAGTTGCACCGCCCTCACGCTCACAAGCCCAACCCACCGCCGTGCCCCGCCGCGCCGCGCCGCACGCCCCCCGGCTGCTGGATGCCCAGGAAGCATCAGCTCTCAGTTCCTGCACGCGCAGCTGCTGCACATGCAGCACCAGGCCGACCCCAAGGGCGTGGACGCGCGCTGCCTTGCCAACCTGGTGTGGGCGCTTGCGAAGCTGGACCTGTCGAGCGACGAGGCGGCGCTCTCCACTGAGATCGCGCTCAACGTGGCGCCCTTCGTCCTGCGGTGCCTCGGCGGCTCCAGCCCGCAGGTGGGCGCCTGGGGGCGGCCGGCCGGCTTGCGGGCGTCGTGAACCCCTGTTGCCGGGCGCCTCTCCCTGCTTCTCCGCATTAGAAGCCCCGCATCCAACCCTGAACATCCCATTGCTCGACCTGCTAATTGGCACCAGGGCCTTGCCAACATGCTGTGGAGCTACGCGAAGCTGCCAGTTGCGCCGCCGGACGTGGTCGCTGCACTGCTGTCGAAGATCACCGCCGAGCTCGGCGCGTCGCTGCGCGCCGGCGGCGACGACGCGAAGCCCTTTGACGCGCAGGCGCTCAGCAACAGCGCGTGGGCGCTCGCGCACCTCAAGTCGCGCGGCGCCGAGCTGGAGAGCTACGGCGGCATCGCGGTCGCGTTCCTCGAGGCGGTCGCGGCGGCCGCGAGCCGCATGCTCGCGCACCTGCAGCCGCAGCTGCTCGCGCTGCCGCGGCCGCCCGGCGGCGGCGCTGGCGGCTGCGGCGGCGCGCCGGACGCCGCGCAGCTGCTCGCGGCGGCCGAGGCGGACTTCAGCTGCCAGGCGCTCGTGAACATCTGCTGGGCGCTCGCGACCATTGCCGGCCCCGCGTGCGGCGCGCACCCGCCGTTCCGGCAGCTCTTCTCTGTTGTCAATTCGGAGGCGG